GAGTATACGTTTCCCAGGATGCACCACGTGGAGGTAAGTCCATTGTACACCCCTGATATCAAAATATGAATAAATGCATTTTTTAGAAACAAAAATATGAGCTTATGATTACTCCTGATTTCATTGTCAGCACACTTTTATTACTCTCTAAGTTCAGTAACCAATTGAGAATAATGTCTCTATCCATGTCAGGAATTTACAAATTTGTGCAATGGGCGTAATTTCGTATGAGTTATATAGCTTCTACTATATCCCCTTACTAAAATAAAGTTCAATTGATTGGGAACTCTCGTGGTCTACGCACTAATTCAAATTGCTTTATCCTTGGGACCCTCATGTCTCATAAATTTTGAAATATTCCATCCACGTAAGGGGTATTTACAAAGGCTGGCAGTAGCTCTCATGATCAGAAGCTTTAATTGCCTGCATTTTTGCTTTCTCGTGTTTTAAAGAACAGCTTTTAATTTTCAAACTTTAAACTAGGGGGGGGGGGAGTGCACTTAAATTTGCGAATTTAAGTTGGGAAGAAACTAACGGAAGTAGATATTTAACAGTTCAATGGATTCAATTCGGGGACTTACTCCCCAATGAAGGGTAAACAGACATATTCGAAGCCTTTAATCTAATCGGGCTTCAATCAGTCAATCTAAGCGGTAAATTTCCCTCAACAAAACAGAGAGTCAGAATACAGCACATCATGTGTATATCTCTGTGATTTTCATTTTTGTTTATATGATCAAACAGGGGTGGCGGCGGTTGTTATGGATGTTGTCTTGATTGCAAGACCAAGATATCTGATTGAGGTATTAAACTAGTCCAAATCCAGAGAATTTTATGTTATGTTGTCAATATGTTTTCAGCTAGTAATACCATAACTACTATTAAAGGAAGATTTAACAACGAATTACTGAAAATAATCAGATAAAGGGAATTCCACAATTTAGAAAGATCGATTCATTTGGGACCAATTGAAGAGAAATTTCCTATGATGAGACTGGGACGCTCAAATAGTCGAAAAACTTTCAATTTGCCCGTCTATTAGCACGCTCTGGAACCGATTCCTCCAATGCAACGGTATTAATGAATCCTTAAAAATGTGCATTCTCAAATCAATTGCAAGAATTTTTATGCACAATTCAGTAATGGACCCGTAAGCAATTTAAGACCTGTAGGGGAGTACCAAAGTATAAATCGACTTCAAATTGTTCCCTGATTTATATGCGGTTTAAAATCCTAATTAGAATTGAGCGAATGAACTAGTAAATGACCTTAGTCATTAGGGCAAATGAACGAGGGAAGGCATTTGGCTAAATTTAGCCAAGAGGAATGCGGAGATTTACGACAAGCCAATGAATGAAAAGCAATAGTTGCACGTTCGCACTGGGCTGACATAAGGAACAAATTGATGGCATTGTTGTGTCATACCCCCTCCCCCCCCCCCCCCCCCCCCAAACCCCTATATTTACCCTGGTTATTGTTCAATCGGATAAATGTTGGGAACAAAAGACGATTTGTAACAGCACTTTAAACTTAAGCGTTCGAAATCTGATCGATCTAAACAATTAGTAGACCTTGAAACTTCTCCCTTGCGGTCACCATTATGGATATCGCATGGCCAACGGTTATGATTTTGCATCTGACATTTCACGCCATTAGTGCTTTAAAGAGTCTCTTGGCATCAAATACACTTAAGAACCTTGACAAAAATACGTGGATCGATTTGATGTCTTGTTCAGTTACTAATCAAAACATGTATTCTTGGAGGAATTCAAGCACATTCATTGCCCAAAACATTTAGTCAATTGTATTTATCAATTTGAAGCAAATTTTCAGGGTTAATACTTGAACGTAACTATCTAAAAATGTTAGCAACAAATAAAAAAGGTTCCTTTTTTCCAATTCATATCATAACAACCAAGTTACACATTGAAAAATTTCGAATGGAACTTTAAAGTTCTACGTTAACCTACAGATTTAGCTTATCAATTTACAAGTTTACTAGTTATCAACCTAATATCAAACTGAAACGAAACCTGAGGTAGTAAATAAAGTCCATCCCAACTCGCTTATTCTACACCGCACCACATACATCACAATTTCTAGTCACGTAAGCACAAAAGTAGCCAATGATTGCAGATTAATGTGACAACCCGTTCTACAGTAATAGCAATCTATTTAAGTAATAAAAGATAGGGTATCTCTCATTAAAAAAACATTGTTTATTCATTAATGAAGAAAGTTCACTGTCAAATTACGCCAACAAAGAAGGGGAGAAGTAGGCATAAAGATCAATCGCCTAAACGCATCAGCAATATAAATTAGGGTAGAGGCGGAAGGAAGAAGGATGAAGCAATAGAGAAGATAGAAGAGATGCTATTATGAGTGTCACTAGTCTAAATTAGGTCAAGATGATCACACTTTACTTTAGTGATTCGTTTTATTGTGCTTAATGAAAGCAATCAGACCATTAGTGGATCCATCATGAGAAGTGATCACGTCCTTGGAGTGGAGTTCGGGCTGAATTTTCTTGGCCAGCTCCTTGCCCAGCTCGACGCTGAAATGATTAAATAGTAGTAAGACAACACTCCTACCAATATAAAAAGTAGAAATTGCTCCAACGATGGCTTACCCCCATTGATCATATGAATTAATATTCCAAATAGCGCCTTGTGTGAAGATTTTGTGCTCGTACATTGCAACAAGGACACCCAGCATGAAAGGATCAAGTTTAGTGAAGACAATCGAGTTGGTAGGTTTGTTTCCGCGGAAAGTCTTGTGCTTTGCCAACATTTCCAACTTCTCGCCACACATGCCCGCGGCTTGTAATTCATTTTTAGCCTGCTCCGTTGTCTTGCCTAACATCAGAGCTTCAGTCTGAGCCAAGAAGTTGGAGAGAAGAATTTCATGAAATTCTCCATTCTTGATGGGATTGTGAGTGTGAATTGGAACCAAGAAGTCACAAGGGATAAGCGAGGTACCCTGGTGAATCAATTGATAGAAGGCATGCTGGCCATTAGTACCTGGTTCTCCCCAGACAATGGGGCCAGTATGATAATCCACAGTATTTCCATCTCTCGTCACGTACTTTCCATTCGATTCCATGTCACCCTGTTGGAAGTAGGCAGGGAAACGATTCATGTATTGATCGTAAGGTAGAATTGCTTGTGTTTCTGCCTTATATGCATTGATGTACATTACACCCAACAGACCCAAAATCATTGGAATCTAAAAGAAGAACAAAGCAATTTATTAAGAACTTATAAAAATAGTTAGATAAATTTTGTGAAACAGTTATTCTTGCATTCTTTTCGATCGGAGTCTCCTTAAAGTGCTTGTCCATGGCATGAGCGCCATCCAAAAGGCGTTCAAAGTTGTCCATACCTATGAAAAAAAACAATAAAATCATTACATTCAATGAAACTAATTTATCCCAAGTGATTGAGTCAAATTATTCACCAATATAAAGAGCAATAGAGAGACCGATAGCGGACCACATTGAATAGCGACCTCCAACCCACTGGAAAAAAGACATGCATAAACAACAATAAAGAACAAATAGAAATTCAACCAGTTTATAAACGAAATGACATACATCCCAGAATTCAAACATGTTTGCTTCATTGATACCAAACGCCTTGACAGCTTTAGTATTTGTTGACAAAGCAACAAAGTGATTAGCAACAGCTTTAGGCTAAAATAACACATAGAAGAATTATTAGGGGAAAAAAAGCAAACGAACAATATAAGCCTTTAACTTGCATCCTTTAGCTGTTCAAGAAGCCATTCCTTAGCATATTGAGCATTTGTCATAGTCTCAGCGGTAGTAAATGTCTATGAAATAATCAAAAGGGCATTAGTAAAATCCAAAATGAAATATTCAATAAAGTGAAATAGAAAGATGCAAACCTTGGAAGCAATGATGAAGAGAGTTGTTTCAGGCTGAACATTTTTAAGGGTTTCAGCAATGTGTGTACCGTCAATGTTGGACACAAAGTGGACTTTTAAATGAGTGGCGAAAGGCTTAAGACAGTTAGTAGCCATGACAGGACCCTACAATTTTACAATATTAAGAGATCTATCATATAAAGATAGCAGAACAATTTTGTAAATCTTACCAGATCAGAGCCACCAATACCAATATTGACGACATCAGTGAAATTTTTTCCGGTAAAGCCTTGCAGTTTTCCACTGAGAACACCTTGAGTGAATTCACGCATATGAGCAAGAACTCTGTTGACTTCAGGCATGACCTAGATATAAATTATGAATAAAGAAAGCAATATTTACATCTTGGCCATCAACAAGGATCGGTGTGTTTGCTCTGTTACGCAAAGCAACGTGAAGAACAGACCGATTTTCAGTGAAGTTGATCTTATCACCTCGAAACATTGCATCACGCAATTCTTCGACATGGCATGCTTTAGCAAGCTCAAATAAAACCTTCATTGTACATTCATCAATATAATTTTTGGAATAGTCAACAAGCAATTTGCCACAGCCAAAATCAATTTGCTGACTAAAATATAAAAATATTTTTGAGTAACATGCCTATATTTTTGGAATCTTTGAGAATCTAAATCAAAGAGCTCCTTGATTGTTTTGTTAAGAGGCTTAAAATTTTTAATAAAATTGCTCAAAGTAGACATCTCTGCAGAACGAAGAGTACGTGACGACTGAAGAATAGTTAACAATGTAACGTTAAAGAAGACTAACTAATTTGGTTAATTAAAACGAATGATAAAAACAATTTTGAGGCAGACTAAAAGCAAAATTTAACATAATTTCTTGTTCAATATATTAAAATTAATACATATCATTTCAAATTTTTCTAAAAATTTTGTTGTTTATTTTATGCTTGTCAAATTAACCTTTGTACGTCACATTAAAAAGCCAATATGCCATCATTTGCTTGGATATAAAGTTCGTTAAAGATAAAATGCAGAAAGAGAATTATGCACTCTATTCAATTCTCATTATTAGGCTACTTTTTAAAATTTTGCATTTTATTTTCCAAAGAGTTGTTTGATAGTATAATTTTGGTTGTTCTGTCTTAATATATTGTCGGGTTGTAATTGTTGTAATATCATTTTCTTGCTTCCTATGAATCAGAATCAGCATCCTGACCACACTTATGTCGATCGTAAAATAACTATAATTATACTTCGAGGTCGAAATATGATTGTATTTCCATAAGCTCAATTTACGCTAATGGCAGAATTCTGAAGCTGCTAGTTGGCCATTTTATATCATTGTGATCGATTGTTTAATCCGTCAGCGGGCTGAATTGGATTCGTTTGTTCAACCGATAGACCTAGGTGCAAAGCAAGCCTAATTATTACCAGCTGACTGCCAAATGGCCTCCACCAAAATAGAATTCAATTGCAGGAATGAATAAAACGTATCAAATTTAATTAAATAAAAATAGATTTTTAATGGTAATTAGTTTTCATTGCAATAGCATCTATTCGAGAGAAAGATTCATTAATTCCTTAAAAAAGTTTAAAATTTGCACTCATACCAATAATCAGCAGTATCTTTTAAAGCAGTAAGATATCAAACGATAAAGTAACACATGTTTCAGGAGCAATTTTTAATAAGTGCGAATTCTTGTTGATAAATATTTTTGCCCTATCTGAACTTTTTATTTTAAAAAAGGAATTTCAGATATGTTGCAAACACACTTTTTGATTATTTTATAAGGTATTAAAACTTTTACTAAATAATTAGTGCTATTTAGAATAGATTTGTTTTATTCGTTGCATTAATACCAACGTAGTTTAGATACTCATGGTAAGTTTTGGTTGGTTCGTTGTCACGTTTTTACGTTCGTCAGTTTTAACGTTTGCAATATATTGGTTTTAGATCGCCAAAGATCTCCTACATCCTACTCTTGCTGAAGAAAAGCGTAAATGCAAGCTTAAACGCTTGGTTCCCTTTCCAAACTCCTATTTTATGGACGTTAAATGCCCAGGATGTCTTTATATCCAAGTTGTTTTCAGCCACGCTTCAACCCCTGTCCACTGTCCTGGTTGTGATAGAATTCTTTGCTATCCTACTGGCGGAAAGGCTAAATTAGCTGTTGGTAAGCTGTCAATTTTTAACTGTCTGCTTTTCTAGGTTGCAAATTCCGCGTGAAAAAAAGTGGCGGAGCTCCACTCAATAATAATTTCTAAATTTGTGCAATATGAACGTATTTTTTTGTATTATTATTGAATAAAGCTTGCTTATTTGGCCATTTTCCTGCTGGTGCTTCTTGTGTGGGTTTGAATTTAATTACTAAAAAGAATAATTTTGCCATTCCTTTTTCGCCGCTTTTGTATTTGCCTTTTCAGTATGGTCTACCTTTGAGGTTTGTATTAATGGTTAGTTGTGCTTTTTCCATTCAGTGTGTGGCTCCAGAAAGCCGTTGAAATTTTTAAATCATTGTAGCGTTTGATTATTATTTTTGACAAATGTAAATTGGCTTTTATCTGGTCGATTCCATTTTGGGGCCTGGGAAACCAACTGTTGCACTAATAATATATGTAGGCGACTTCTACATTAAGTAAGCATAGTTTGACGATCAAATGCTATAATTCTTTGTCAGTTTGCGTGCGATAATATTGTCTGATTTCTTACTAGTTCATAAAGGGTATTTGGTCCTCTCTCTTGGGGTTAGCCGCGTTGTATATGCCTTATTTAACCTGCTGAGTTAGTTTCGGTGCGATCTTGCGTTTCTAAAATTCTATGCCACTTAATTAACTCAGTGGTCCTGACTGTCAGCTAATTTTCTTGAACTAATGTTGACAGTCGAGGGGTGTGCGATAGACTTACCTGGGCAAGGTATACTCATACGACAAAGAAGTCTATTAACCGGACTACTTCCACAGTACTTACCTTTCCTCTATCTTTGTGTCTGTCTCTTTTACATTTTTGAAACGCTCTTCTGTTCCCTCTGCCCCCCCCCCCTCTGGGTTTTTTTCCCTTTGACGTTCCTTCCTCTCTGTGAGGCCATAAGTCAACTAGAGGGTTAATGATAACTATCAAAACGCCTGACATTTGATATAAATACATGTTGGCAGTCGAATAATTAAAAAATCGCGATGGAATTTGTCATGTTTGCCGATAAGTAACATTATTAGCTAGTACTGTCCTAATACTTAGAGAGGCAAAAATCCC